GACCTGTGTGTCTGGGCTACCTGCTCATGCAGCCTACCGGTGCTTTCTTGTTATGTCGGGATTGAAGCCAGAGGTACTATTTCCATCTCCTGGCCCCATATAACTTGTGACGTGGGGGTCTGATAGAACCCAGCTCCTAATGGGCAGTTCCAGATATGTGCTCAAATAGTGTCCCCAGAGGCCTGCATAGTGATTCGCTCACTGGGGCTTACCAACAACTCCACACTCCACCTTTTCCCACCTCTAACAACATCAATAGCATAAAGTTGGCTACATTTTATGGCCCAAATGTAGGGCTGTAGAGATGCCTGCTGCAAAGTGTTTTTCTACTCTAAGCCCCACTCATATGAACTGACTTCCGTGTTACCAGTGTATGGGTCAGAGTAGTATTCCTAAGAGTGGAATATGGTGCCTCTCTAACCCTTCTCTGTGACAGAAGATGCAACAACTTCTCTTTTGCTTTGGAAGGGCTACCCCAGCATGCTTCTGAGTATAGGACACATACACTTTTAAATGAACTGGCAGGTTCCTAAACCTTTGTAGGATTTTCTTTCCATTCCCTAAAGTGCGTGTGTCTTAACATTACCTCCTACATACTAGCCACCTCTTGCTTGTATTAGCTAATGGGAACTATGACATCAGTGCAGACGATCCATGTCATGTCTGGGAGGATGTCCACACGGTTTGGAACTCTTCACCATATCTCATGACAGAGGCAGAAGAGTTAACATAGTCCAAGAAAAAACTGTAAATATCTAATACTACCCATTCCACTTGAATGCAAACTCATTCTGATCAAAATAGAAAAGAATGCATTTGTCAAATGACTGACTGCATAAGGGATATCTAGATCCTTATTAATCTGTTCTAGCAATGACAACATGTATGCTAAAGCAGCTGTTGACAATGAACACTCTATCCTGTTCATAGCTAGCACTGAGTTTATGTTTATGTGGATGGAATACATAGCAATGGATGTTGGTGATATTTACACAACATGATTGGTGGTTTCACGGAATTGTGCAAGTGAAAACTTTGACTTAGCTAACGCGTTACCCATATTTTTACAACAATAAAAATAAATTTTTTAAGAAGTCAACATCATCAATAATGATACATTTTATCAACTAAGAAAATCACAATATCACTTCTTTGATATTCTTACCAAAATGGAGAATTTGAAATTAGTCGTGAGGAAACTTCAGACAAATCCCGTCTAAGAGACTTTCTGCAAAAATAATCTATGCGAATTCTTTAGAAGAGTCAATGTCAGGCAAGACAAAGGAAGACTGACAAACTAAATCAAATGGGAGGAGACTAAAAAGACCTACCATCTAAATACAATGTGACGTTGGATTGCCTTGTGCATCCCAATTTTAGTGGTCACCAAGGGTAGGAGGGAGGGGGTGAGAGGGAGTTGTAGCTTAGGGGGCGCTGAGCTTTTGTTAAGGGCGATGGAAATATTCAGAAGCAGGTAGTGGTCATGGTTGCACAACATCATGAATGTAATTGATGCCACTGAATTCACTGCAAAAATATCACTGTAAAAAGATTGAAATGGCAAATGTTTTGTTTTATATATATATACAAAAGAAACAAAAAACAAACCCCTTGTCATTGAGTCAACTCCGACTCATATCGACCATATAAGACAGAGTAAATCTGCCCCAGAGGGTTTCCAAGGAGTGGCTCAACTGCCAACCTTTTGTTTAGCAGCTAAAATATTTCATCTAACCTAAGGTGTAGTGTTTTCCTTTAAGTGATAAATAACAAAAATTCACAAGAAGAACTATATGCTCTTTTTCAAAATATTTGCTATCATCTAATGCAATTTTAATCACATAAACCATCCTACACCCTTATTGAAATACTGAGATACATACATATTATTTCTCTCATCATCCTCTGTTAATGATGTCTTTGACTATGAAAGATAGAGTTACCAGGATTCTCCTTAATATTAAATGCACTGGGCTGATAGAGGCTCTCAGAAGCTAAGGAAATGTGGTACAGATTTTGCCACTCTCAAAAGAGAACAAGAGAAGTCTGAATAATCATAGGAAGGGGCATAAGTTAAATAGAACAAAAAGAAAAAACCGGAGAATTATGTTCTATTTTAACCTGCATACACAATTTGTAATGAAAGCATTTCATTAAATCCTACTGCACTGGTGGTACAGCGGTTAAGCATTCAGCTGCTAACTAAAAGGTCAGCAATTCAAATCCACCA